TGGCATCCTCATATGTCCAACACATTTTGAGTTGTTCAGACGCTTCATAAATAGTTTTTGCAAATCATTATTCAACTGTGACTTTATTGTGTTCTATCAAAATGATTAAAAACATATAATACAAATATAATTCTTTGTTTTTGCATTCATCAAGAGAAATCTATAAAACTGTGCAAGAGTTCCGGTCTTAGGATGATTAAGACGATCTGAAAACTCAAGAAAAAATACAAAACAGATTTAAGTAACACATTTTCAGGAGCCTGTTCATTGTCCTGTTTAGGGGTTTGATTTCAACAAAACAATGAGAGTTACTAGTTTGTGACTGTAATCTTAAATTGAGCAGATTTCAAGTCAAAAAGTGGAACAACTCTGGTATGGAGAGGTTGATAATAATAAAATTGTACAACGAGTGACTCGGTTTTAGCAGCTTTTCTGTATTTTACATAAACAAATGACAATGTATGCCTCTCTTTACTGTTGGTAGAGATCAAATTGGTCAAAAACATGGACATTTCTTGTATAAACTGGGACAAATCAGTGGTTTTGTATAAATCTGCTGGGACGGGGGACACAGGGCTCAAAACTGGGACAGTCCCGGAGAAATAGGGACGTCTGATCACCTTAGTGTAAGTTGTTTAACCGCACAAAGCAGCTCACCTGTTGTAGTTCCAGCTAAAACAAAAACGTTCTTTAAGGTCGGATTGTGTTAAAATAAAGCTCAGATTAAAGTCTAACAAAACTCAGAGAGAGCAGTGCCTACAGTTAGCATCACAAGCCCACGGTATGATGATGAATTCAGCTGCAAAGTATCGATACTATCCGGAGGTCGCCGCTTCTGCACTTTGAAGGATGGGTAAAAATTCTAACTTTTTACAAGTATTTTTCTGCAAACTTCAGTATTTGACAAACTACAACTTTAGTTTACTTCAATATTTTGTGTACTCAAGTAACACAGAGCACATTGAGAATAGTAGTAGCAAAAGCAGTACTGATAAAACACGCCTGCAATAATGTTATTTTTAAATTTATTTATGAAAAAATATATTTCTTGATTTGGACGAAGACAATAACATAGACGTATATACAGTTTCCATAAATACCAGCTTATGTACAGGTCAAATTAAATAGAGGTAAGCTATATTCTCAACTATTTACACATTGCATTGTTTCCATAAATTAACATGAACAGACGAACATTGAACGCACATTTGACATAGATTTTTGGTATCGTCTGGATCCGAAAACATCCTTTTTTTTCAAATACTCGGCAGTAGACGGGGCAGTGCGCGGACTCTAGCGGAGCCCCGAATAACTGGATAGCATGTGTAGTTCGGAAACAATCGTAAACATTGTCAAAAGCAGATTATCTTTCATTGACGATTGCGAGCATCTGGGTCCGTTTTTCTTCGCGATTTCTTCCGTAGAGGCACTTTCGCGTCATTGTTGAATTCAACCGTGATTTTAAGGCATCTTGAGAGCGTAATCATTGATTTTTCCGTTTAAAGGCCTCCAAAGGTGATCATTGTATCCAGCGTTTCCTCTGTTGATTCAAATGCTGCTTTTTGAGCTTTGTTCTATGTCCCAAAGTCCCAGCATTTTTCATAGCTTTTCCTAAGGCACCAGTCTTTACAAATGGCACAATCCGTATTTCGATCCATGTAAAAAAAGCGATATAAAAGTAAAAAAAACCCAAAAATTATATTAGGATTTAAGGTATAAAAGATAAATAGTGCAAAAAATGGCCAGACAGGCGGGCCCGTTTCTTATTGTCTGTCAGCAGCAATAAATATTAAATAAAAAAATAAGTCCGTAGAAAAACGCGTATTGCTAAAAGTGTCCAAAACAGGAAGTTGGGTGGAGCTGAGACACTTGAGGTTAAACCTGGAGAAACAAAGGAGACATTTCAATAAGTCAAACACAATAAATAAATAAGTAATGATTGTATTACAGATATTCTAATTCTTTTTAAGTGTCCGGAAGGATTCTTACCTCCGTAGCAATGACACACTGATCCAATTGGTCTGGTATTATGTAAATAGGATGATATAAGTTTTCTTTTCCGAAATTTAGTTGGGGAACAAGGATAGTCGACTCGCGTTTTTTACTGTTGAGGGAAAACCAAGGTTAGGAAATGAAGTCTGAATTTTACAATGTCACTCAAATACAGTTACTTACAAATCAAATTTATTCTTGTCGTCTTTTGCCAAGTTACAGTCTGCCACCTTGTTTTTGTAGTTATCACTTCCCTTTTCTAACGCTGCTTTCTTGTTGGAAACTTTAGCATGTGGGCCTGGGATAAGGAATACCTCTTTCTCTTTCAGGCTGGCTCCGTTGTTCGGCGTCCCACCTCCGATGATGGCGTTCCGATTGTTGACGTTTTCCAAATCGTTTTTCACCGACGTCGTAGCGGCCAGCTGCGACCCCTTACGCAACTGCCGAAGAATGAAAACCGCAGCGGCCATCATTAATGCTAGAGTGACAAAACCCAAAGCGAACGCCACCATCAAGACCGGGGTAGGCGGAGACGCCGGTGTGGGCGCCGCGATTGTCGTTTGGACTTTAAATTCGCACCTTGCTCCCATGTGACCGGCGGGGCATTGGCAAACAGGACCAGTAAAATGTGTATAGCATGTCCCGCCGTTTTCACAAGGGAAGTTGGTGCAAGGACTGTCCCGAACTGAGCAGTCCTTCCCGGCATAGCCAAGAGTACAGGAGCAGGTGTAGTCATTGACACCGTCGATGCAGGTGCCGGAGTTTTTGCATGGATTTCTGGCACAATCATCGATATTGGTCTCACACTTAAGACCTGAAAATCCCGGGCGACAGCGGCACACAAAGCGATTTCCGGCATCCAAGCACTGAGCACCTAAAGATGAGATAAAAATGACTGATGAGTTATTGAGTAAAAATAGTATTGGACCAAAAGTTGAGCCCTGAGGAACCCCAGTGACAGCAGAAATGCATTGACCGCTGTGTTCCTGCTGATCAGTTCTTTCTAGCAGATGTTTTGTGTCTGAATAAACACTGAGGAGGCGCTGTGAAAACAAGCTCCGCGCTCCATATTTGGTCGTGCTCGTTGCCAAGTTGCACAACTGAAAACACTTGAGCGGAAAGCAGGAATGATTCCAGATTCCAGATAAGTCGGCAGCCTCTTTTGCTAATGAAGACCTGAGGGACAGCTGTTAACGATATGCATTTAATTTTAGGCTTTTGTTGATTCATTTTCCCAGCATGCAACAATGTTCTCACTGCTATTTTTGTAGTTTAAGTTGGAGTTTTTTTGTGTAGCATCCTAAGATTGATAGCTCGTCTATCATCAAGTCTGTGCAAGCTGCTGCTATGTTATCCAACACATGAGAGGCTGCTGAGTTGTTTTGAGTGCAAGAGGGAGAGAAAAACAAAAAAAAATCAAGTTTGCATTTTTAAAAAGCAGTGAGTCGTGAATGAGGAGGAACACTGGTGCCATGATATAAGACGAGATAAGCTCCAACGTGACTGAACTAGCAAACATACTGTACTGTGTAAATGCTAAATTCTATATTACAATGATAATGAAGCGTACCATTGGAGCAGGGGTTTGAACTGCAACGATCCAGTTTTTTCTCACAGTTGGAGCCGGTGAAACCAGGATCGCATCGGCAGCTGTATCCACCGCCCTCATTTTCAACGCAGGTCCCTCCATTAAAGCAGGGCCCATCTGCGCATGTCATTGCACTGATTTCACAATTCTTCCCATAGAAACCTTGCGGACACGTGCATGTGTAGTCATTGATCAAATCCTACAAGAAGAACAACAAAACAGCAGATTTGAGATTCCAAATTTAGACGAAATTTATTGATCCGCAAGGGAAACGATTTGGACACAGGAGCTCACACATGACAATATAATATAATCACAGAGAGTAAAAATATAAATAGTAATGATAAATTCTAAATAAGAAGCAAAAAGGCTGCCTCAAAAAGCCCACTTCCATCCTGAAAGACTCATCACACCCCGGTCACAAACTGTTTGCACTGCTCCATCAGGCAGGAGACACAGGTCCATAAAAACCAGCACAAACAGACAAACAAAACAGTTTTTATCCAACATCCTTTATTTCACTAAACGATGCTACCAAAGCATATTTTTTTTACATTTTACATTTATGAACGTGGATGTGTGTGGCTGGGATGTGTGTGGGTGTGTCAGGTTTTATACACTTTTTAAAAAATGTTCATAGAGACTTTCTTGCCGCCTTTGCACTGAATGAATGAGGACTGCACTTCATCTCGTTGTATCATATTGTATTTTTGCAAGTTTTCTTCACTTACCGATAGGAATGTAACGATATCCAAATCTCTCGGGACGATATTATCAGAATATACAAAAAACTCAGGCTTAAAAGTGCTTAGAACTGTTATTTCTTCTTGTAGTCTGCACTGAAATGGAGCAAAGGATCATGGTCTATGTAGTTCCCTCTGTCTTTTTTTTTACTTTATTACTGCACCATAACTCTTCATTTGAACAAAGACACGTGTAATTCGATATATTGTGATGGTCCACGATATTACAATGACAAATAAACATATTTTATATTCTCTCTAATTTATGTCATTAATGTCTCTCTCTCTTTAATTTTATGATGATTATTTATGTTTTGATTTGATTTTATTGTGATTTTAATGTATTTCTTTTTCTGTAAAGCACTTTGAATTACTTTGTGTACGAATTGTACTATACAAATAAACTTGCCTTCCCTTCTATTTCTATTCTATTATTATATATTATTCTATTATTATTATTATTATTATTATTGTTATTATTATTATTATTATTATTATTATTATTATCGTTATTATTATTATCGTTATTATTATAATATTCAAAAAAGGAAGCAAGAGACAGATTGAAATATTAAAGAAAATATTAAAGGAGAAACATGGAAAATAACTTACACTGCAACTGCCTCCATTTTTGCACGGGTTGCTGTCACATTCATTTGTCTCAATTTCACAGTTGGTGCCGGTGAACCCAGGCTTGCAGGCGCATGTGTAGCTTCCTTGTCCGGTATTGGTGCACGTAGCGTCATTTTGGCACGGTCTGTGGTTGGTGCAGTAGTTCAGATCTGCCAGAAGATAAAAAACGAGATTAGACGTTGAACTTTCGTATAATTAATGGCGTTTATTTTGAAGAGAGTTTACCTTGATCGCAGTACAGTCCTCCCCATCCCTCCTTGCAGTTGCATTGCCAGGGCTGGCTGCAGGTCCCGTGCATGCACCCGGGATGCCGCGCGCACTCGTCGCACCGGTCGCCCTGCCACCCCTGGCGGCACACGCACTCGCCGGGCGCCTCGCAGAAACCGTGGCGATCGCTGCAGCCCGGGGCACAGATGGCTGATGGGAAAAGAAGGGAAGGAGAGAAGGTTACAGGAGGCGGTCAAACATCGATCTCTGTGTAGTTGTCGAGAAGGGAGGGAATGGTTCGGCAAGGGAAGGGAAGGGAAGGGGAGGAGGTAAGAGCAGCTGTCTGGGGAACAAAAGATGCCGTCTGTTTTCACGCACCAGGGGACACTTTAAGGCTGCGCGCGTGCCTCTTCTGTTTAGGGACCTAGAGCCATTGTTGAACGCTAACAAAAGGGGACAAATGAACACGACCTCAAGCGAGCGGCGAGTGTTGACAACTGCTTGACTTCACAATTTTCCAGACAAAAAAAATGACGCGCCAAAGTTTCTTACAGACGGAAAAGACGTTATAACTACAAAGGGGGGAGGGGAGGCGGCGAAGTGGTGGTGGTGGAGGTGGGAGGGGCCAGAATACTGTACAACAACAAGCAAAAAAAGAAAAAAATACAACGTTACAGCCACTGAGAAATCCGTGTTTTTCTTACGATCGGAGCAGTATTCGCCAGTCCATCCCTCTAAGCACTGCCGGGACCCTTCTTCGTCACAGGTGAAGTGCCCGAAAGGATCGTTCCGCGGTCGGCAGTAGGAGGCGCAAGCTTCGCCGTGGTAGAATTCGCTGCACATGACGTGATAGGAGAAGTGCAATTCGCTGCTGTCTCCGTAGTGGACGTCTTGAGACCACTCCTGTCCGACGCTGAGGGTACGTCCGGTCAACAGTCGAGTGATCAGGTTGTTTTGGTTTTCTGTCAGGAAACAAGTCCAAAATTAGATCGCTGTGTTGGTTCAAGAACAGACGAGAAGCCAAAAAAAAAAAAAAAACAACTATCAGAGTGCACTGGCATCGACTGCATTGAGTATTTCACCTGTAGATTCAGACGGAGCAGATTCGGCTTTCCATGCTTCCACAATGAGAGAGAAAGTACCCTGAGGAGCATCAACAAGAGACATGGGTTGGTAACAACAGCAGGTCCAGTGTCATGCAAAACAATGGCAATTCAGTAGTTCGTAAAAAGTGGAAGTGAATGACAGGAGGGAGCTTCAAGTAGGTGCTAGTTGACTTACCGGCCATTTGAACTGAAAGGGGATGACGATGGGGGCGTTCCCTGAGACGGAGTTGATGTTGTAGATGTCCGTCAGCTTGGTGCCGTAGGTGCAAGGGGGTTCGGGGTTAATAACGTCCTGCGTGTGTTTTAGGCAGATGCGGAAAAAAACCTGGCAGTCAGATGAGGAGCAAATACCCCTCGAACTGGTGAAAGAGTCGATTCTCAGTTCAAAAACGCCGCCTGAGAAAACCTGGGATACAGTAACAGAAAAGGTTAACGCTGTCAAGACATAAATACAATAAAGCTCATGTCAAAGTTCATATGAGCTCTTCAAATGGTCTTAAATTGTGCTTTTTACTACTTTGCATTGCAAACAGAAAGTTCATTGTACATAAAAATAACATGCAAAGCAGACTTTTGTCCCGGAGTACCATCATTAGTGATAAGATTAGGCTTATCTGAACCATTCTATTAGTGGTGTACATGTCCCGAGTGGCCACAAGAGGGAGCGCTATCTGCCACCATCTGAATCAGTGCCACCGTCAACTCGACAAGAAGGGCATCAGGGCACTGTTTAACGCACGCACGAGCACGGAGCGGTTACAAAACGGAAAAGTAAGTATTACAGACTTCTTTTTTTGCCATTTTTTGCAATAATATTATCATTATCATGAGAAAATCATAGATTATATCAAATAAAACATTGAGCAAACACCGTGTTCATTTCTATTGCAACAAAAAGATACATTCTGAGCTGCAGTTTGAAAAGATATGAATGGATATTGAGTGAGAGTCAAATATAGTGCAAAAGTAGCTCGGATTTTAAAACGTAGCTTATTTTTTAAAATCAAAGTCCACTCACCGACTGCGCGCAAAGAAGGAGCGCGGCACACGGCAGGAGTAGCCGCCCCATGGTGTCCCCAGGCAAGAACCGTCAAGGTTCCTAAACGTCTCCAAAGTTCAGTATCCAATTTACGCACAGGATCCACAGGCACGGAAGTCCAAGCGGAGCAGTGCGTAAAGCGAAGGTAAAAAGAAAAGCAAAAGTCTTGGTCTAGTTCAGTGTCTTGTGTTTGTCAAAACGGACTCTGAACTGTGCCACCAAGAGGTAGGCTTTATACGCGCCGAGGAGGGAGGGAGGGGAGGGGAGGGGGGGGAGCAGAAGGCGGGGAAAACCACAAACCCTGCGCGTGCCATACTGTTTTTTGTCGAATGAAACTCTCCCTCTCTGTTTCTCTCTCTGTCTGCATTTCATTAATGTTTCATTTAACACAAGACACAGATCCACCAATCTGCTGAACCGCGCACGGCACACTTTACTCTCCTGCGCTCGGGGAGGACGTGCTTCTGATTGGTTTCGATTCAGTCACTTAAGTCCACTTTGAAATGTTATATTTAAGTATGTCAGGTGCTTATTTGGTCACTGGTGTGATCTGGTTTAGTCACGTTTTATTTTTGCTGTTTTACTTTCAAAATCGAGGTTGAGTTTCCCTGTAAACATATTTGTTCAACGTTGTCTTTTGAAGAATTCTAAACTTGTATGGCACCGCTTTACGCACACGTCAGATTCAATCACGCACAAACTCATATTGACGACGGACTCCGCGCCACCTTTACGCGCTCATCATTCTAATTTCTCGTGACATTTGCTGATGTTTTGGTCAATATCTTGAGCTTTGGACAGCGGTGCGTAAACGTTGAGAAGGGGAGGGAGGGAGAGGAGGGAGAGGAGGGAGAGGAGGAGGCATACGGCGCGCGGGGGGACAGGAGAGGACCTTTTGGTAAATAGTAGGGGGATGGTTTTATTAAGACCCTTTGGCACAGCGCCGTGGGGCCAATTCGACAAACTGCCAGGCGTCACCAGCAAACGCTCACACCTCCAGGAGCAGAAGCACGAGGACGGGGAGGAGGAGGAGGAGGAGGAGGAGGGGGAGGAGGGAGGGGGCAGCGGCAGGCGGCGAGGTGCGAATATCATGGTGCCCAGAAAGATGCACATTTGCCCAGAGGTGCAGGTTTCTCAGGGAGAGGGGGCACCGACACGGCTCCGGGTGCGCTCACACGTACACGTTTACAATATCAAAAAATGGGACTAAACCAGGACTAGAACAGGACCAAACCAAGTCTACGTCAGGACTAGAACAGGACCGAACCAGGTCTACATCAGGACTAGAACAGGACCAAACCAAGTCTACGTCAGGACTAGAACAGGACCGAACCAGGTCTACACCAGGACTAGAACAGGACCAAACCAAATCTACGTCAGGACTAGAACAGGACCAAACCAGGTCTACGTCAGGACTAGAACAGGTTTAGTTTAGTGTGAAAGCTGCTTTAAAACCAGAATTTCATGATATTTGGAGTCGGTAATAGGTACGTCTCTCCATCACCATAGCAACAAAGCAGTTCTTATCAAACTGTTTTATCTTTTGTAGAGGAAAGGTTCTAAAATAAAATAAGGGCATGTGGGTTTGTTTAATGCAACCTAAGAGCTATTGCAAAATGGAAAAATAAAAGTTACAGACTTTTTTAGTATTTGCTGATTCTTTGTATTAATATTATCCACATCAAAAGCAAATTATAGACTAAAGTAAAACACTGAAGCAAAAATCCTAAAACTTGTATTCCCACGCTGTTGACCCGGCCTGTTTGAGAAACATTTGAATAAATATTTGATCACTTTTTTATCTCAAACATTTCTTTAAAGCTGAGAGATACAAATGCCATGGAACTGGATTGACAAAAACACAAATTTGAGGTATCTGTACTTCACTTAAGTACATTTTACATTGGATATGGAAACTTGAGAGTGTGTATGTGTACTTTCTACTCCACTACAGTTTAGATCTGGACTGAAAAGTAAAAAAGTAGTTTTCTTTACGGTGTGAGACCTGCTGAAATGGCTGAGACGTTATTTTTTAAGCACATTTCATTTGAATTAACGTCCCAACTTTGAGCAACACAACACACAAAAACACAAAAAGGGCAAGAAAAATTAAGAAAACAACTGAATCACTGAAGATCTGAGTTTACAAAATCACTACATTTCATTGTTTAATTGTTCTAAAAATCTCAGCAAAAATACTTTAACTTTTTATGCTTAATGTACATTTTTAAATAGGTACTTTAATACTTTTACTTAAGTAGATTTTTTTCATTTGGTACTTTTACTTCTACTTGAGTAACTTTTTACTTTTGTTTCTTTACTTATACTTAAGTAACAATATTGAGTACTTCATCTACCACTGACTAGACCGTCACTCGGCCTTTGAGCCCAACTGATGTGGACTTGGTCTAGTCCAGGTCTAGTCCTGGACTAGTCCTAGTCAGGTCCAGGTCTAGTCCTGACCCAGTCTTATCAAATTCATTGGTAAAGATGGGACTGCTCTACACAGTCCATGGACAGTGAATTATGACATGTGATCTGTTATTCTTCTGTACAGCCTAAAAAATCCTGTGCCTTATGGATAAATTCTGGTTGTGTTTATTGACCTCGAACTGATTTTATGTAGTACGCGGCGCTCAAAAATGTGTCAAAAAGTTTTAGTACGACTTTGGTAAACTACAAAGCCGCACTGCGTGAGGATTGTCAGAGCTTTATGGTTACGGTAATCAGGAGCCTCATGGAGAAAAGTCATGTCCTTTAGTGTGACAGAAGCTGACAGCAACACCGCACAAGGAGCGAGCTGTTTCTTTCAGAGCTTATAGTTTATGCAAATGAGTCATGTGGTTTTAAGTTTCGTTTCTGTAAAACGTAAACAAATGTGTCAAAGCTGCATTAAACACATTATTACTCAATGTATATGGGAGTCATCCTTGTAGGAAATAAAAAAACAAACTTAAATGATCCACCCACATTCACATTCATAATCCACGTTCACCAAGACAGGGAGCCAACACCGGGTGAGTTACATCACGATCTGCCAATGGACCATGGACGCCTGAGCTAAGGATCAGTCTCAAGTGTCGTCTGTTTGTTTTGCTTAATGCGCCTTTCAATCCGGTGCAACTTTTAGTCTGAAAAATACAGTATGTACAAAACGGGTTCAAACTGGTCTTCTCTCAAGGGAGTTTGAAGTGGTGGGCAGTGTTGGGAAGGTGACTTTTAAAATGTATTCTCCTACAGATTACAGATTACATATCCCAAAATGTAGTTTGTAACATAATCCATTAAATTACTTAAAGTGAGTAATGTAATCTGAATACTTTGGATTACTTGATTTGCTGGAGAGAAGCAAAGACGAGGAAATCTTCATGTAAGAAGTTTTGTCTGATAAAAGAAAATAAAAAAGCCCAGACTTTACTTAACTGTATTAAAAATATTATTGATAGAAGATGAGGAGACATGGTCCGCGCAGCCTGATTTAGTCCTCTTAAATTCTGTTTAGACCTGGTTTAGACCTGGTTTAGACCTGATTTAGATCTGATTTAGACCTGGTTTAGACCTGCTTTAGACCTACTTTAGACCTAGTTTAGACCTGGTTTTAGACCTGGTTTAGACCTGGTTTAGACCTTGTTTTAGTCCTGGTTTTAGTCCTGGTTTAGTCCTGGTTTAGACCTGGTTTTAGACCAAGTTTAGAATTGGTTTGGACCTGGGTTTAGACCTGATTTGGACCTGGTTTAGTGTCCGGCAATGAGTGGAATTACTGAAAAAAAAATAAAAAATGCCGCCTTGTAATCCATTTATTTCAACCAAGTAACTGTAATCCAATTACCACTCATTGAAACAGTAACTGTAACTGAATACAGTTACTCATAATTTGTACTCTGATTATGTAAGTCTGGTACATGTAATCTGTTACTCCTCAACACTGGTGGTGGGTGGGAGGTGTCAAAATAACACTAAAGGAAGTTGAATTAATTTGAACCACATCAACTCCTCAACTCCAACCCACATTTAACTTTCAAAGAGTTAAAATAACACTTTAAAATAACAGAAACGGTGATACTACAAGCAAAAGAAGCATCAGAAATAACACGAGAGTTAAATAAGGCCTAATGATATAAAAGTATAAAACACATGTAAAGAAATGAATAACAACAACACAAACGCAAAATCCATCACAATGAGAACAAAAACATTGGTTGTGTGATTGAGATAAAGCGTCTGCGATCGGTCCAAACACTGCTCCATTAAACAGTGAAAGCCCCTCCTCCTCCTCCTCCTCCTCCTCCTCCTCTCATCTCATCTTCACCTTTCCCTTCTTTCTTTTATCTGTTCATCTGTTTGTTTTGGTGAGTCTTTGTATAAACTGCAGTCTAAACACACTTACCTCCGATTTCTCTTCGTTTACGGGAGAAGAGGCCGCTCAAAGCTACACTGCGGTACTTTTTTTGCTCGTCTTTGCTGTGTCGCAATGTTATTTCTTTACCTAGAATGTTCCGCGGTTTGGCTTTAAGCGTGATCGGTGAAAAGGGACCCCGCTTACAGTCACGATTTTCTTTTCTTTTTGAGTGTAATTGGAAAAAAAAGAAAAGGAAATGAAAAGGTCAAGCCACACACTTCTCCATGGAGACAAAAAGTTACACAGTTCACCTTTAATATTACTAGTAGAGCTTAGCACTGTAGCATTAACGTTACTTCACTACTACGTATTACTACATAAAACTCATACTTTTCTCAGTGAGTACAATATATTTGTACTGTGGTTGTGTAACCAGGAGTGAACTGTTACATTTATTAGACGACCATCAAAAAATAACTTACAATTGTACTTCAAATGACCTCAAATGATGGTTTAGACCTGGTTTAGACCTGGTTTTTAGATCTGTTTTAGTCCTGTTTTTAGACCTGGTTTAGACCTGGTTTAGACCTGGTGTAGACCTGGTTTAGGCCTGGTTTAGACCTGGTTTAGACCTGGTGTAGACCTGGTTTAGACCTGGTTTAGACCTGGTTTAGACCTGGTGTAGACCTGGTTTAGGCCTGGTTTAGACCTGGTTTAGACCTGGTGTAGACCTGGTTTAGACCTGGTGTAGGCCTGGTTTAGGCCTGGTTTAGACCTGGTTTAGACCTGGTTTAGGCCTGGTTCAGACCTGGTTTAGGCCTGGTTTAGACCTGGTTAGACCTGGTGTAGACCT